GATGGGGAAGAGAGATTAAATCTAAGATTGCTGTGATTTCCCAGAAATCGAAGAATTTTGATGGCAATGTCTCTGCATCCTTTGTTTGTACTGCTTCTGGAATACTGATTGCATTTTTCTGGTGACCTAGCCATGTTTCAATTCTTACAAAGCGGACAAAGTAATTATAATTTTGATAGACTCTATAGATATATGTATTGAATTTCCTTCCCCATCTCCTGTACAGATTTCCTTTTCGTTTCGAAGCATTGTATAGATTCTCACAAACTCATCTCAGATTGTCTTATCTAGCTCGTAAAATGCCTATATACAGTTGAATCGTGACATTCACAAACTCAACAATCTACCCAGCTGGTTCGAATTTCAACAATGTCTACAGTTCCATTAAAGGACCTAGAGGCATGACATTCAGTAAAACATTTAATGATGGTTATAGTTTTCACCTGAATCTGTAAAATTGACTTTGATGTAGTGTATATAAGTTCCCATTTTCCATTGAGAAGACTTGAGTTGAGGGGCTCCTTTGTTGGATTGCAAGCTTCAAGTCTGCAAGCAATCTAATCAAATAACATTGTGTTGAGAAACTAAAAGAAACATAATGCGCACACAATCAGTGAGAAAACTAATATAAGGAGCAATTATATGGATCATCTTTGGTAGGAACTCTTGCTAACCTAACTTTATAGACATTGAATATCTAAACAATGATAATTGCAATGAGCTCATTAATTAATAAAGCAAACCTGATCAATTATCTGCTGGTCTTGAGGAGTGGCGTCAGCGCCACGATCAAGAGGTGCAATAGCTTGAAGAAGCTCTTGTTTAATGGGTGTAGGGTCTTTGGTCTTGTTGAAGAAAGCAGGGAAGAATGAAACATTGGTCTGCCATTTTTTATTGAGAGGAGAAATGTTAGTATTATTATTATGAGGATGAGTATTTTGGATAGAAGGGAAAGAGAAAAAAGTGGAATAAGAGAGATAAAGTTTGGTTGAAGCAACATGAGTTAGTGGAGGGGATAGTGAGGATAAGGCCATGGGAATGCTGCAAATGAGTTTCTACTTTCTACTTCACAGGAACGGAACATTTATTTGGTCTCTTAATTAAATTAAATCAGAAATATGGTAATTATCAAATTTTACAAGCAACTCTCCATTGTACGCCCTAAGCACGCCCAATGTTCAAGGCTCACTTAACAAATCTTATACAAATTATGTATTGAATTCTTTAGTTAACATTATTGACCCTTATAATTCTTGAATGAATGATACTTATTGTTTTTTAATCTATAGAAATAAGAAGATCCAGAGTAACTCAAATAACAAGTTGTAGTATCGTATAATTACAATTTGGTAACATTGTGAGGGTGATCATATATTACGTAACATTTCTATTAAAAATACATAGCGGAATTTTACTTTTTCACTTATCATTGGTCTTCATGTTTTTGTAATATGCCTCAAAATTATCATATTTTATTTAGCTATTTGAAAGTAACTTTATTTTTATTCATGATGGAGTGATGTTTTCATTATAATACTAGTAAGTTTTCTTGATTATTTTCTTTTAGGAGGTAAATTGTATAGTATGATAATAATATATGTTTAGAAAAAATGATTATTTATACTTGTATAATCATGTTAGAAGTTTTATTTTCTATGAGTTCCTTGGTCATGTTTGTAATTATTTCAAACTATTGATGTATTTTTATAATTTTGTGTTATTATTATATTATATATTGTAAATAAAAAATTTAAAGATTCATAGGGCTTACTCCCCACGTCTTGAGGCTTACGCCTCCCCCTATGGTAAGTAAAACCTCCACCTCACGCCCCGCCTTTTAAAACACTGTATCAGATCCTAATTTTTAATTTGGCTTAACACTCATTTCGTATCACTATTCACATCGATTTCAAATTTCAAATTTCAAATTCTTAATTTTTTTAAAAACAAATAAAGCTTGAAAATATAGCTAAATTATCTCTTTTTTGAGTTTTTTTATTTGAAAAACCTTGCCGCGTGACATTCCATATGCATCAAATTTTGTATTTCAATTCCATATTTAGTTTAGCATGTCAACTTCATCATGCCCAGCTTTACAGATTATCAGTCATATCTCACATACTCGGTACATTCAAAGTACTGATCACATACCTCATTTGCCTACATTTACAATGTGATGTAGATTTGGGATCCTAGTCAGTTAGATCGCAGCTTCCGTCCAACTTTTCTTATTTCGAGCACTCAAGTTAGTTTGTAATTCTAGTATGTTATTTCTATTCACATGTATTGATTAAGGGGAGCATGAGTCATACCCCGACTAACTTTAATTAGTATTAGTAGAGACTTCATAGAATGTCAGTTAGAATTGTTGTATTCAATCTATTATATTCCAGATTCTTTTCATATTATAGTTGTTGTATATAAAATTTTGTTCAGAAATATATTGAACTAGTATTTCATAATTATGTTTCCGCTCAATCACTTTAGTTCTTTTACATATTGATATTTAGTTGCTCATGATTATGCTAGTATCAAGGGTTTAGCTTGGGGTGACTGGTGACTCTAAGCACCATGTTACAACTAGGGGGTTAGTCTCGAATCGTGACATCTTTGAAGCTTTGCATCCAAACAATCTACGACCTAAGTTCAGTGGAGTCCTCAAAATTCTTAGACGACAATAATCACCACAATTATACATATCGACTTTCTCGATATTCTTTGAATTTTGTGACATATCTAACAAAAGAAGATGAATGGAGATAGAGTAGTAATATGAAAGAAGAGAGATATAAGAAGAAGAAAAAAAGAGAAAGAAGATGATCAACAGTGACAGAAATTGAGGACATATGATTTATAGACTAGAAGAGAATGCAATCATTAGGGGAAGTTAAAGTAAAACGCATTCACAAAATCATTTTACATGAATCAAGACAGTGTCATGTCAATAAAAAGTGCTTAAGTGACTCAAATGTTGAATGATAGATATATTCAAAAGGTACAAATTCTAATTAAAGTGTTCAAGCGAAATATGTGGACAACTTTGAAGGGTCATCAATAACTTAAACTATCTAACTTTTACAAGAATCTCAAATAGGAAAAAGGATTAGTTTCAAGTTTTATGTGGTCATTCAAGTGCGGACAATTTGCTAAGATATCGTATGTTTTTAGCCGCTTCCCTTCCCCATTTCAAGCTTGGAGAAGTACACTTTAGTTTTATCAAAATGGGCAAAAATGTCGGTATGTTAGGTTCCCAAAATAGAGAAAATGAAAAATTACTTTCACCACAGTTTTAACACATCTGCTTCTTAAATCTTACCTAGTCACGAGCAAGGGGAAAAGAGAATTTGGCATCAATAGAAGAGAATCAGATAGGAACACAGCAGGTCATTTAGAAGTTGGAAGGCATTGTTTATGCAGGACCAAATTGTTTATGAACTAGGAGAACTAGTTTCCATCACAAGTTATGTTCAAGCATACATGATATCACATTGTACGAGTCACAAGATATACAGTCTCCTAGACTCCTACTCTAATTTCACAATTTAACAAAACAAATTGACAAATCCAGCAAATTTTCTGGTCTTGAAGACCAAGAGATAAAAGGATGATTCGTGCACGCCACTAGACATTTTTGGCTCTTGAGCTCTCTTGTTCAATCCTGCAAGGCGAAATATTCATTAGGCAATTAGCATACCTCCTGTTTAGATGTATGCTCTTCTCAATCTTCTCCTAACAAAATCATAAATAATAAAGACAAACAGCATTCTGAACCTTATTATTCATGGTACAGCTTTGGTCTCTGATATATGGCAAACGAAAGATCTCCTAACTAGTCATGATCAAGAAAAAATCACTACTTAAGGGAACACAAACAATCGAACAACAGCTGTTGGCCGCCTAACAGTCACTTAAATGAAGCTTGTTGCTTACTTGGATACAACAGCAGATGCAAAAAACTCATGCAGCTAGAGAAGCAATTTGATCAAGTCCTGTGTTCGGGTCTAATGCTTTCAGCTTCAGCAGACTAATGACAACAAATAACTCCTATGATGCAGTCACTTTCTGATACCACAGCGGCCAGCTTTACCAGTTCCCGACTGCACAAATTATGTACCCTTCCTTTTCACAAGGTATATGCTCCCAAAATCTCTTCTATTTTCGTTGACAACTGAAATTTTTTGAGAGCCAACTGGTGCACAGTCTGAAGTTCGGTGGATAATGGACCTGTACCTTAACCCTTCTCCACTTAAATACCAGGATTCTGTCTGCGGCAGAGTTCAAACTTGTGACATGCACCTAATCCACACATCATGCGTTGTGCTCTTACCAATAGACGAAAGCCCTGAGGACTTCTCGAATTCCTCCTTGAGGGCCCAAAACCTCTGAGGTTCCTCATAACTTTTGGTAAAAAGGAATTCACACAACACAAGAATATCCAATTGGTTGTACGAAAGAACCAATTTATAAACATCTGGTAAGCAACTGTCCTTTCTCTGCAAAAGCAAAGGTCGAGGTCATATTGACTGCAGTTGTAACACCTCATTAAGGATTATGACTGGCTTGAAGACTTCCAAGTAGCTGGAGTCATCTAGTTATTATTGCTGAACAGAAGATATATGCATGCAATGTGCTGCAGAAGGCTCAGCAGAGACGATCTGTTGGTTCAGACAAAATCCATTTGACCAGATTTCTATTGTAGCATGGGTATTTTGTCTTTGAAATCCTGAAAAAGTATGACATAGCAGTTAAGTCTCAAAATAACCAAAAGCCAAGGATTTAGTGTTGTCCTTCAGAATTCTATAGTAAGACGAAGAGAGGGAGACACATTGAGAATGCACAACTTGATTTCTCTTTGAAGCTACTAGGGGGTGTGTACGCATGTTCCAAAATAGAAAATAATGCACAGATTACTAGAATACAACCTCCCTAACTAATCATGATTAAGAAAAAATCACTACTTAAGGGAACACAAACAATCGAACAACAGCTGTTGGATAAATCCTATGATGCAGTCACTTTCTGATACCCCAGCTTCACCAGTTCCTGACTGCACAAATTATGTACCCTTCCTTTTCACAAGGTATATGCTCCCAAAATCTCTTCTATTTTCGTTGACAACTGAAATATTTTGAGAGCCAACTGGTGCAGAGTCTGAAGTTCGGTGGATAATGGACCTGTACCTTAACCCTTCTCCACTTAAATACCAGGATTCTGTCTGCGGCAGAGTTCAAACTTGTGACATGCACCTAATCCACACATCATGCGTTGTGCTCTTACCAATAGACGAAAGCCCTGAGGACTTCTCGAATTCCTCCTTGAGGGCCCAAAACCTCTGAGGTTCCTCATAACTTTTGGTAAAAAGGAATTCACACAACACAAGAATATCCAATTGGTTGTACGAAAGAACCAATTTATAAACATCTGGTAAGCAACTGTCCTTTCTCTGCAAAAGCAAAGGTCGAGGTCATATTGACTGCAGTTGTAACACCTCATTAAGGATTATGACTGGCTTGAAGACTTCCAAGTAGCTGGAGTCATCTAGTTATTATTGCTGAACAGAAGATATATGCATGCAATGTGCAGCAGAAGGCTCAGCAGAGACAATCTGCTGGTCCAGACAAAATCCGTTTGACCAGATTTCTCTTGCAGCATGGGTATTTTGTCTTTGAAATCCTGAAAAAGTATGACATAGCAGTTAAGTCTCAAAATAACCAAAAGCCAAGGATTTAGTGTTGTCCTTCAGAATTCTATAGTAAGACGAAGAGAGGGAGACACATTGAGAATGCACAACTTGATTTCTCTTTGAAGCTACTAGGGGGTGTGTACGCATGTTCCAAAATAGAAAATAATGCACAGATTACTAGAATACAACCTCCCTAACTAATCATGATTAAGAAAAAATCACTACTTAAGGGAACACAGAGAATCGAACAACAGCTGTCGGCAGCCTAACAATCACTTTAATGAAGCTTGTTGCTTACTTGGATACAACAGCAGATGCAAAAATCCCATGCAGCTAGAGAAGCAATTTGATCAAGTGCTATGTTCGGGTCTAATGCTTTCAGCTTCAGCAGACTAATGACAGCAAATAAATCCTATGATGCAGTCACTTTCTGATACCCCAGCTTCACCAGTTCCTGACTGCACAAATTATGTACCCTTCCTTTTCACAAGGTATATGCTCCCAAAATCTCTTCTATTTTCGTTGACAACTGAAATATTTTGAGAGCCAACTGGTGCAGAGTCTGAAGTTCGGTGGATAATGGACCTGTACCTTAATCCTTCTCCACTTAAATACTAGGATTTTGCCTGCGGCAGAGTTCGAACTTGTGATGTGCACCTAATCCACACATCACGCATTGTGCTCTTACCAATAGACGAAATCACTGAGGACTTCCCCAATTCCTCCTTTGAGGGCCCAAAACCTCTGAGGTTCCTCATAATTCTTGGTAAAAAGGAATTCCCACAACTCAAGAATATCCAATTGGCTGTACGAAAGAATCAATTTATAAACATCTGGTCGAAAGCAACTGCCTTTTCTCTGTAAAAGCAAAGGTCGAGGATTGACTGCAGTTGTAACAGCTCATTAAGGATTATGACTGGCTTGAAGACTTCCAAGTAGCTGGAATCTTCTAGTTATTATTGCTGAACAGAAGATATATGCATGCAATGTGCAGCAGAAGGCTCAGCAGAGACAATCTGCTGGTCCAGACAAAATCCGTTTGACCAGATTTCTCTTGCAGCATGGGTATTTTGTCTTTGAAATCTTTAGAGCCTGAAAAAGTTGGACACAGCAGTTAGTTTCAAAATAACCAAAAGCCTGAGATTTAGTGTTGTCCTTCAGAATTTGAGAGTAAGACGGAGAGAGGGAGACATATTGAGAATGCACAACTTGATTTCTCTCTGAAGCTATTAGGGGTTAAACAGTGTGTACGCATGTTCCAAAATAGAAAATAATGCACAGATTACTAGAATATAACCTCCCTAATTGATGATATATAATAGATATATTATGCATTCCCTGACCTAATTCATAAATTATAGAATATTTACAAATATCTTAGACAAAATAAAAGAAAGCCACTATATAAGTATTAATCAACAAACAGGAAATGGGACCAAAATAATTTAGTTCAAGTGAGTAATTAAAATAAGAAACTTTCTAAGAAGACAAGTCAAAAGACCAAACTGTCTTCTTGCAGAAAGTACTGCTTCATCCCACATTTGTCTTCAACTGGTCTGCTAGACAAGTGGCAGGTTAGAAAATGCAATGTCTGGGGACTGAGCAAATTTCTCAAAACAATAACACACTAAGCCAAACCCTATTCGGCCTACATATGCATTTGCTTTGGTCCCGTGGAGAAGTGACAGATTGGAAACACACTGTTTGGGACTGCGAACGAATTTTCTCCGCATTGATACTCCCACCCAACTTCAAAGGAAATATTACTCTCCATCCCATTTTCTGTGGAGGTGTTTGATTAGGTACAAGGTGTTAAGAAAGAAATAAAGACTTTCGAAACTTGTTTTAAAACGAGATTTCTATGGCTATAAAATCATTTCATTAAGAGTAAAATAAATGAAACATTAAAGTTAAATTACTTCTAATATAGAAAGGTGTCATTTTTTGGGGACAAACTAAAAAGGAAAGTATGTCATATAAAATGGGACAAAGGAGTAAGATTTTGTGTGTGCTTGTGCACGTGTTCATCATCGTTGGAAGGCACTCTCAATCAAAACCACAAAAAGATGGGAGTTGCTGGAATTCAAAACACCGACCATACTGATCTTTGGATTTTAGACCTATCACTCATGTTGATAGTTTCTATAAGATATTTGCAAAGCTCCCCACCTAATGATAAAAAAAAAGTTGTTTCCGAACAGGTTGATGGCATTTATTAAAAGGAAACAAATTATAGATGCAGTGTTCATAGCAAATGCTTAGACAGATGAGGAGGAGGGGGGGGGGGGGGGGGGGAGAACGGCGCA